TACATCTCCAAGACGTGATCACACCTAGACCTTGCCTTGCCAATAGGGTTTGAGTGACCTTAAACTTTTTAGGAACTTGTGGGTTAGGGAGAATAATTGGAGGAGGTGAAAGAAGTATGATATCCATGGGACATCATCTTCATTTAGGAAAGCTTGTTTCAAGAGATTTGGGAAGATCATAAATGTCTAGACCAGACATCTTTTTGGGAGATATTCAAGATAGTTGATTTAAAGTCCTTAATATGACACCCAATATGAAATATTAAGGCTAGGACCCAACAAACTATTTTATAACTTAGAAGAGGGATGTCGTAATCCAAGCTATAAAATATTTGAAGGTAGGTGAATGACGATTCACCAATTTCCACCATGAAAAAACGAAATAATTTATTAGGTTTTAATTGGATTTGAAAGTCCTAGATCTTTGAGATTCATTGAACTGTTCAAAGGCATGTTTCAATCTCGAGTGTGCCCTTCAGGTTTTGTGACTGGGATGCCGAGGATCACAAAACAAGGTGTGAATAACCATGCAAATATACTTGGTACCCTTAATATTTACCCCTTAACAGTGTGCGGTTAACCACACACGCTCCACCGATACTATGATAAATATTAAGTTACCCTTTGCCTACCTTGTTAAGTCCAGGTTAGTGTGCCGGTTAACCACACACGCTCCACTAACGACTTAAGCAAAGTGCAAAGTGTAATTTCATGGGTTAGCACTAAATTCACATTTTCCTAAGTAACTAAGATTGGGTATTAATAAGAGTTTAGTTACTTAGTATTTATCATTAATACTTTTAATGAAAGGAGAATTATAGTCCTTGTCCTACCCGTTCGGCTAACGACCCTCCACCAGTCAAGGAAGCGGTGGGTGAGAGTGGACACCCATTAAACTGCCATTTTATAGGCAGTAACCTTATACCCCCTTATAGACCGGCTTCGTGAATGAGGCCTACTAACGGTAAGACTGACTTTACTCTTATACATATATATAAATATTATTAACTTATAATATTATAAAGTATAAGGGTTGAATTTTAACTTTTAAAATTCTAAGGGCTAACTTGGAATTAAAGTATTCATAAGTGAAAACTTTTCAAATTCCAAAACTTGAGGGCAAGTTTTGAAACTATTCAAAACTAATTAATTCCATAACTTATGAGTTTAAAGGAGTTTTAATTATAAAAATAAAAAAAAAAAAAAAAAAAAAAAACTCTTCAAGTTCCATAACTTGAGGACAAGTTATGGAAGACTTTAAACTAATTAATAAAAAAAAATAACTTTTTTTTATTGTAACTTATGGAACTAATTAAGGTTACACTTTTTTTTAATTTAATGAAGAGACTCTTGAACCTCCATAACTTGAGGACAAGTTATGGAGTCATAAAACCATTTAATTAGAACTAGACTCTTCATTTTGTAACCTTTGCCAACTTTTATGAGTTTTATGATTCTTAAATGTGACTTTTCATATAACTTGAGGACAAGTTACAAAAACACACTTTGGAATCAACTCTTAGATTAAAATGGATTGAAAACAACTATTTCACACAAATTTTCTATTAATCTAAGAACCTCATAAGAACAAGATAATTCAAATCATCAATCTTCAAGAAATTAGCATGAACATACAAACTAATACAAATCTTGAAATTATGACAATTATCTTAGAAATTGGATTAGCATGAACATTACCACATCAAAAACAAGTTTATAAGTCCAAAAACATCTTAGGGTAATGTTCCTAGTCCAATTCCAGCCAAAACAATCGAATATATGCATCCAACTCGATTTTTCAGCTACTTTTGCAAGTATAACAAGAAAACAAGCCTAGGCTCTGATACCACTGTTGGGTTATGAGCATTCTAACACTCCTAAGTGTACATGCAACCCTAAATACCTTGGATCTATGTTTTCTCTATTATACATACAATTTTGAACATCCAAGGTATTATCCTAATCTAGCATACAAAATAATAAATATAACAAGATAGAATACATACCTCTTTGATGTAGAATGTCTTCATGAAGCTTGAGTGCCTAGTGCCCCAAGTGTGACACCTCAAATGGTTCACACAACACCAAATACACTTGGAATAACTTGAGAGAAACTTGAACACTCCTTGAAATCGTGTAGCCCTCACACTCACACATTAGTGTAGAGCCATGGGATTCTTTTATATGGTGGCTATTAGGGTTACACCATGTAACTCATAACTTTACCCATTCCTTATGCTCCATGGATTTTAACCTCCATGGAGTATCCATGGGTCACCCCATGGACTTAGTCCAACATAAGGAATCTTGGATCACAAGCCCACATATATAAGAATGAATGATTTACACAATCAACCCATATATTTAATTAGTCTCCTTTTGATCACTTAATTAATTCCAAATTAATTCTTGATCAATACTAATTAAATAACCTTATTAATATATTAGAACTTATAATATATTAACCAACCTTAAGTGTTATTTCTCTTATTTATAGTCTATCCAAATGCATGATGCCATGCAACCCAAATGGACCATGCCGGGTCGGGTCAAGTCTTACCAATTATAGTTATGGACTTAGACATTAATCCAACAGTTTCTTGAAGATGTAATGATAAATTTTTGTTGAAACTGTTGGATTAAGAAGTTACAAGACCGGATGGTGTCTTTATCTATTACTATTAAAAGTTAAGACCTCATTTTTTTACATTACTACCCTTTAACCAATTTATATTGCATTTTTTGTTTCTTTTATAAATGTTACCTATGCTTCATAAGATCATTTCACATTATAATTTGGATTTTTTTTTGTCTTTATTAAGAGAAATAAAACCATGGATTTTTTGAACTTTTATATTATGGCCTATCAAACATTTACATTCAGTGAATTCAGCTTGGAATGAAACTTCACACGCTTTAAGAACTTTCTATAGTTCCCTAATTGTTAGATTGAGGAATAAGCTTTTATTTTTTTGACTTAGAGGAACTTTCTTATCGTTCCCTAAAACAAAAAGCTTTATGATCTGAAATATTAATTATTTTCTCTAATTGCTTTTACCCTTATTGTGTGAATTTGCAAATTTTTGTAGGATTCAACAAAATGCATTTTTGTAGTTCTGAGATGGGATCCAAGATTTAATCGGGTAACTGTTGAGTGGAAGACCGAGGTTTGAAAACCCACGTTTCTTTCAATTTACTTTTGTGCTCTTTTAATGCATTTAGTTGATTTGTACACTAGAAGATGGAGTGGTTTATTTCCTGTTGGAATATTTTCCTAATTTTACTGTACTATTTTTATGGGAAGAAATGGTGTATTATTTACAAAGAAGCTATTAACTATAATGAAGGTAAGGTACTTATGCTAATCTGATTGTTGGGTAAATAACATTTTCCATCCCTATGGTCAGTTGAATTTATAGATATGATCAAAATTTTCTATTTTAAACATTCAGGCCCACTAATGAAACTTATTTGGTCCAAATGGTAGAAATAGCATGTTGCTTTCATTTTTGATGTAAAAAAGAGCATGGTTTCATTTCTAAGTTAAAAATAACACATTACATTTATTTTTTTAGGCAAAATAACATTCCACTTTTATTTTTAAACCAGAATAGCATGCTACTTTCATTTGTGGAGCAAAAATAGGATGTTACTATCATTTTTAAGCCAAAAGTAGCATGACACTTTTTTCAAGAAAAAAAATAAGATGCTATATTTATTTTTAAACCTATGAAGGATGATGGCTCAATGTTCCTGGATGACTTTAAATTGTATTAACAATATTCTTTTTTGTCTATATAATAATTATAAATATATCATCCGTGGTTTCCACGGGTTATAACCTAGTTTGGTATATATTACTGAAAATATTCAAAAAATTTAATTCCCTATCCCCACTACCAGCAAAACAAATCTCCACATATCCACTCCCTTCAAAACCGTTTCCCCATTAATTAGGCTAACTTGCCAACGCCCAAGGAAAAGGAAATTTTCACTGTACTTTTTGCTAGTCGTTCTTCCCTCCTCTTGAAGGTTTGTTCGGTGATTCATATCGTCGTGATTACAGGTATATATTTTTGTCTTATTGTTTTTTCCCTCGTCATTTATGAAACCAATAGGATAGTAAGCAAAATTGTTCAGGTCTTAAAAAGAGTATCACTGTACGATTTTTACCACATGAAGCGAAAAATATTGCTCTTTGCTCGATCCTCAAAACCCTGTATTAGGCAAAATTTTCATGTATATGGAGGTATGATTAGCATTCACAAACGAAATATACACTAAGCAAAAGTTTCAAGACTTAATACTTCTTATTCCTTCGATTATAGAGCAACATTACATATATTCCAAGGCTACAAACACATATAGAGTTTGAAAAGATTATTAAAAATTCAATTAGCATAGATCCCTTAGATTCACAAATGACATAATCACGTATGAACTAAATCACAAAACTTTAATCCTACAAGAAACACTAATCTCTACCTTGCTTTCGAATCATCTTGCAACCATTATGCATAGGTTGCTTGTACATGTCAGGTTTTCACCACAACCTAACTCAGCAACAAATTTTGCATCACCCAAAATGAAATGGGTCAAGAGCCACTTGGGACACCAAACACATCTAAGACACCGGTAGGATTGAAACTTCATGTTTGTTGAATATTTAACCAACCCAGATTTTCTATCCTCAACCTTCGGTGCTTGCTGAATAACGATCCTTAATTAATGTTAATTGATTGTTTTTTATGACATGATATTGCAAACTTATAATGTTGCATCTCTAATTTTCTTATATTACATGAAAGATGTCACCATTCCCATTAAAAGTATTACAACATCCTACAATATTAATGCAACAATAACATGGTAGAATTTGTTTATGTTGACAAAGCTAAAAAAGTGCATGTAAGTTTATTTTTAAGTTATTTGGTAATAGGAACTTAAAAAATCTTGTATAAACTATATATTAATGCAACAATAACATTGTAAGATTTTTTATGTCTCGAAGTGCGGATTTGACACTAATAGAAGGGGAAGTTGATGAAAATGAGATGTTTTATATAGTTGTTGGAGGACATGATTGTAAAAGAATAATTTGTGGGCTTGGATCATATGACATGTCTACTTTTCTTGAAAAGTCTTCTCAAATGTGCACTTCACCGAATACAAGTTCCGCAAAACATCATCTCGAGACTAAGATTCGGAGACTAGAGGAAATCATAGAGCAACGACGAATGGACTTGAATGATGTGAAAAGCATGGTCAATGATATGAGAAACATAATCAATGAGTGATACATGTTTTATTACTTGTTTGTTAACGATTTTTAGTTTAGTTTGACTATTAGATTAATTTGTTGGGTGTTATGTACAAGTTAGTATCACATTTGATGATAAACTATATTTTATTAAGAATTTATGCAATATCTTATATTGTTTATCGCAATTTCGTAATGTTGATTTTATTATAAATCTGTTTAGTCAATTTGATATGTATTTTGCTACAAAATTATTCCTTGTCACCATTTTTTTTCAATTGAACTGGTCGCTAACTTGTTACAAATACTTTTACGGAGTTATCATGTAGTTAAACTTAAATGGATTTTTCTATGGAATCTATTTCGTCATATTTTTTTTGCAACGTAAGTAGACTGTGGTAAATTTACTACGAAATATTTGCAACAAAAGTGGACCATAGTTAATTTGATACGAAAGTAGATCGTAGTAAATTTACTACATAATATTTACTACAACAATACGCATAGTGGATTTGCTACAGAAATTAGCTACAAAATGAGTTTGTAGTGAATTTGCTACGAATCGGTCCATAGTTAATTTTGCTACAGGCTTGCTACGAATAAATTTTATAGTTAATTTGCTACGACGTTGCTACGAATATAGTCCATAGCCATTTTTCTACGGAAGCAATCTGTTGCAAATTCTGTTGCAAAGGTGCTACGGATTCCTTAACAACCCTTTACTAACGAAGAATTTTGCAACAGAATGGTTACGTAGCAAATTTTGTCTCTAATCATGTTAAGCTACGAAATATCATGTTTTAGCTACATAATTATCTGTAGCTATTTCAGCCTTTTCTTGTAGTGAATGACCTTTTGTTAAAAGTTTTGAAACCACATGGACAATCCGTGAGGTTTTTTAAAATTAGGGACGAAACTTCAGATTTTGTGAAACCATGGGGACCATGTATGAAGTTTTATCTTTTTTTTAATTCGTGAATGATCCTGACACGTCTATATATACATTTTCTATTAACCTGTAGAAGGTTTTTGTTGTCTGGTTGCTTCTAGGTACTTAATGAGTACATGAGTTCACAATAGATAAAGAGACTTGCCACGAATCTTCACTTTGTCCTTTTCTCGGACTACAAACCTTGGCTATTTATAAGATATAGTCATCCGAATTAAATGGAGAATTTGTTCATCAATTTGAATCGTTATCATCTTTTAGCTCAAGATATTCTGATATGCTCAACCAACACGTTCTGATCAACAAGTAACAATAATATATATATATATATATATATATATATATATATATATATATATATATATATATATATATATATATATATATATATATTCATTTTGTATGAGTGTGACGCAATTAAATATAGAAATAAAATATGAGGGTCATGCATTTTGGGTAGCTATGCATTTTTGGTCATGTATTTTGGTCTTGCACTTTGAGCCATGCCCGTTGGGGCATGTATTTATATCCGTTATTTCTGCACGTCATTTTTATCCGTCACTTCTGTCCGTCAGACTCCACCCTATGCCTGTCGTCAGTACCCCACCAAGGTAATTGTATACATGGCTTTGTAATAGGATCTTTTTGGTGGTTTAATTAATAGGGTTCTTTATACATAGACAATGGTGCAGTGGGTGGTAATCATATTTGGGTATTCGAATAGCAGTATAATTTTATCAAAATTAAAACAATATCATTAGTCTAACTTCTAATTAAATGCATTATAATTACGTATAAATTAAAAAATCAGGAACGAATTATTGAAATCGTTCTTGTTTTTGTCAAAATTATATATATATATATATATATATATATATATATTATATATATATATATATTTGCATTCGGACCATCCTTATATTTTGATTTTGTTACGGTGTGAGTCTCAAGATTACTATAATGCCCTTACTATTCTTTTTCAATTAATTTATAGTTTTTTTAATTATTTATATTACTACTATTAAAATATTAATGGGTCCCATATTCACATTTGCTCTCTCTCTCTCTCAAATTAATCGACAACCCCACCCCCTCCATTCAGGCGTCGGTTGTCTTCTCAAGTGACCCTGTATAGGATCTGGTTGTCTTTTTCGGGGGAAATGGTCGTCATGTTGAACATGTTCAAATAGATAACTCATAAAATCAAACCCAATAATCATAATTGAAGATTATGTGTTTCATGTAATCAAACCAGAAATCAGAATCAAAGACAAAATGAGGAAGAATAAAAGATAGAAAGTTAGGGTTGTACACACACAATAAAATAAAACATCGATTTGCAAATCCGACCACCTCACTACCTCAGTAACCCGAAACCAAAACAAATCAAAAACATCCTGAAATCAAAAACCTTAAATAAAACATGTTGAATTGGTAACCTCAAATTGTGAGTTTATTCTACATGCTTGATTTCTTCTGATGTGGATGAAGGGTCTCACCGGAGATCGTCGTCAATTGGAAACACGGGAAGGAGGGGGTGGTGGTGGCGGTTGTACATACATAAACACATTCATGGTAGTATATACCAATTTAACGATTTCATACCGTCGTCGTTCAAAACCTTTTCCTTGTTTACATATATAATGTTAGTCAACAATTTCATATTGGCGCCATTCAACGATTTCGTCCGGACATCGATTGTAGATCTACCCACCTCAGTGCCATTCATTCACCTTGACCTTCATGGAGTGGTTGTCGAACATGGAGTAGTCATCGGCGAGGGTGAAGTGATGGTTGTTGTCATTAAAGAAGGTAGCTAGAGAGAGGAAACATATGTGAGAGACGCCTTATTTAGGGGCGGGCCATATATTTCTTTTTCTAAATTACAAATAATTAAAAAAAATAGATTTATTTGAAAGTAATTATCGTCATTTCCTATCAGGTTCATACCTACACCGTAATAAAATCAAAACACAAGGATGTTTTGAGTGCAAAAAAATATAAGGGTCAAACACGTAATTTTGAATAAACCACAGAGACTAATTTCAATAATTTCTTTAAAAATTAATAGCAATAGTAGAACTTCGAATACATTCATATTTTTTTTCAAATAAAAAAGTTAATTTCCAAAATATGGTTGATCTTTTATAATCAAATAATAGAAGAATATGATAGCAACAACACATGTTGGTAAAAGGAGGACACTATGAAGAAGAATATAGATAGTCGCACGATTGAGCAACAATATAAGCCACATGCGTTTTTAGAGGGAAAGAAGTAAAATTGAATCTAGGGTTTTAATTTCTTATTAAAATAAGTAAAATTAAAGGTTTTGTAAAATATTAGGTTCAAACGATAGAGAAAAAAAAAAGTTAAAAAATGCAAAAACAAATCTCCGTAATCTAATGTTATTTTTCACTGTTAGATATTTCAAAATTCGTATGGTTATTTTGATCATTTTATATTTCTAAATCTTTTAGAATATATTTCCATTGATTTCCTACTTGTATCTCCGATTTAAGTGTGCGATTGGTACAGAGAAATGGAATTGCAGCAGAGAATGAAAATGCAGAGAAAAAAAATTAAGCTGGAGAAAGAGAATTAACTCTGGTAGAACTGAGAATATACTATAGAATTGATTTTGAGAATTATTTCTCTTGTTTGTTTCTATTAAACAATTAAATGGAAATGAGTTTTTTTTACCTTGTTTATTAATTTCGAAAAAATATTTTTTTTATTGAAATGCATTTTGATGTACATCTTAATTAATCAAAATATGCATCTTTTATATTTTATACTTTTTATTTTAACATTAACTGTTACCAAATAATTTAATTTCTAATCAATTAATATTATTTTATATACATCTTATATTGGAAAACATATTTCTAATATAAACGAATAACTTACAAATAGATTTTAAAGAAATATGAAAACCATAATATGCAAAAAGTATTCAATATTCCTAACAACCCAAAAAAAATATAACTATGTCTAATATAGAATGTGTAAAGAGTCACATCTAGTAATTGTTGCACTGCCATCAAATAACTGGGTTTGAATATGTTGTCGGCACCACCATACTTTCCGGATACATGCAACTCCAACAATGCTTCAGTCAACTTTGCATCCTATTTAGTAGTCCATATGTGTTTGCTTCTCCTTGCCATTGCCTACAAAAACGAATTACATAATACATGCTTAAAACAGCCCCTGTTTATGGTTGTATTGAAAGTCAATGATTTTCCCATCGAAACGAATCTTCATTAATCATTCGATTATATACAAATACAATGAGAGTATTAGGCTATGCTAAATACATGGGCTACAATACAAATGGACTATACAAAAATATACACTAATACACCCTTGCAGTTTGAGCGGAAGGACGAGAGCATATGCTCAAACTGGTTCTAAAATCCATGAAAAGTGATGAACAGAGTCCCTTGGTGAAGATATCAGCATATTGGTGGGACGATGGAACATGAAGAACACAGATCTAACGAGTAGCAACCTTGTCACGTACAAAATGAATGTCCATTTCTATATGTTTGGTGCATTGATGATGAACTGGATTGGAAGATGGGTACACAACATTGACGTTGTCACAATAGACAATATTTGCTTTGGCAAGAGGAGAGTGTAGCTCTCGAAGAAGGTTGCAAAGCCAACAAGTTTCAACTTCAGCATTGGCGACACCTCTATATTCTGCTTTTGCACTTAAACGAGAGACAATTTATTGACGTTTTGAAGACCAAGATAAGAGGTTGTCACCGAGAAAAATACAATAACCACTAGTAGATCTTCGATTCGATGGGCACCCTCCCCAGTATGTATCAGAGTAAGCAATAAGGCCCGTAGTGGCGGAGGGGTGTAGTTGAAGACCATAGTCAAGAGTGTCGTGAACATAACGAAGAGTGCGCTTTAGGGCATGAAGATGGGGTTCCCTGGGGTCATGCATGAATAAGCATATATGTTGCACGGCATATGATAAGTCTGGACGAGTAAATGTTAGATATTGGAGACCACCCGCTAGGTTGCGGTACAAAGATGGTTCCGAAACGGGAGAGCTGTGGGGATCTGTTTTA